CCCACCGCCCCTGGTCCTCCTGCCTCCTTACCCACCTCCCCATCCAGGATTTAATATGTCCTCCAGGTTGCTGGGGATGAGAAAGTCTGCTGTGAAAAGTGACACGAACAAATATACAAACAGCACTTTTTACTACAGCAGACTTGCTAGCTAGCAAGTCTTTAAAAAAAATAAAATAATCAACCAAAAAAGGCAAAACAGGCAAAGAGCCTTATTTGTATTTCTATTCTGTTTAGGTCCAGTAAAGAATAGGGACAACTGTACATTATTTTTATTACTGAGTCTATAAAAAAACCCTACATAAATAAATTATAATGATTTGGACATATATATGTGCATATGTGTTTTTCCTAAAGTTAATTACATATTTTAGGGAAAACTGTCAGAGCAGCCACCGGTAAGAGTTGGTGGCCGCACTCTGAGGCCACCAAAAATTTTGTTGAGAGAACCCCTGCATTAGGCTATGTCTGCACTACAGACCTTACAGCAGCACAGCTGTGCTGCTGCGCCGCTTTACCATCTCCCATGTAGCCACACTATGCTGATGGGCATAATTAAACCACCCCCAATGAGCAGCAGCAGCTACGTTAGCCGCTGTCCAAACCAGCACTTGGCAGTGAAACTTATGTTGGTCCAGCGGGGGCGGGGGTGTTGGTTTCCACACACCTGACTGACAAAAGTTTTATTGACAAAAGCCTCAAAAAATAAATAAATATAGGGTTAAAAAAAAAACACACCTTAAGAACATTTGTTTCTACAAATACATGTTCCACAAGCCCTTGCTCTTGTCCAGTAATTAATCCAATTTTACATTTTAACTTAACCAGATCAATAGCTGTCTATAGGACAGCCAGAAATCAGCATCTGTATAGGAAGAATTCACAGCACTCCAGTGAAACTAATTTTGTCAAAGTAATCTTAGTCACTTTCACTCAACAGCAAGGATGGCAGAGAAAAAAATACTTCTGTACTCAAGTGCAATACCCACTGTTTGCAGCTGCAAGGGGGTAGGGAGGGAGAGAGAGAGAGAAACAGACAATAGAACAGGGGGTTCTCAAACAGGGGGTCACGAGGTTATTATATGGGGGGTCGCGAGCTGTCAACCTCCACCCCAACCCTGCTTTGCCTCCTGCATTTATAATGGTGTTAAATATATAAAAAAGTGCTTTTAATTTATAAGGGGGGAGTCACACTCAGAAGCTTGCTATGTGAAAGGGGTCACCAGTACAAAAGTTTGAGAACCACTGCAATAGGGTGATGCAAAGAATTCTAATGCTGGTATCTCACATTAAGTTTTAATGCCAAACAGCTAACAGTTACACTCCACAGCAACTACCACACATGTACTTTTTGGTAGCCTGACAGACTACAATGCTATACACAAACTTGTTCACTACTGTTAAGCATTTATGTAGATTCATTTTTTGTTATGCCTCTATTCAATTTTCTTAAGAAATAATCTGAAAAAGGTGTACTAATGGAGACAAATATTAGTTATAACACTAAACTGTAATACTGCCACTTGGCTATTGTTCAAACTCAAAACCAAGTCCCTGAACTCAAAATCTAAAGACTATTATTTAAGATGAGTCATCTTTGGCATATTTCCAGTTCTGCTAAAAATCATTAACCAAATTGATCTAGCCTATACCCACCAACCAATTCATGGCATTTTACTTTAGTTGCTATTTCTCTTTGATGGATGGGAGCCATACCGGTGGTTCATTGAGGGACATTTAAAAGCCCCTACAATGCAGCTGCATCTATTCTACTAAGTTAACTAATACAACTAACTAGACTGTTATGAATCACTACATCTGCACACAGTATTCACATATGGTAAGCAGGACTGCAGTTATGCAATATGTCCAATGCTAGTGCCGCACCCAATAATTTTAGCAGCAATACCTTCTAAGCACATAACCCAGAGGTCTCCTCACTGCTTCAAACTAAAAGCACTGTGAATGACTGCTTATGGCTAGAGCTATACCAAATTCATGGCCGTAAAAACGTGTCATGGACCATGAAATCTAATCTCCCATGTGAAATCTGGTGCCCAGACAGAGGCTCCTACCCTGTGCATGGTTCCAGCTACTACTCCTGGCTGGGGATGGGAAGGAACCAGACTTCCTCTTCTGCTGCAAGGGCCGCTCCTGGGGTGAGTCAGACCCACCTCCAAGTTCGCCCACAGCTGCAGGAAGCTCCAAGGCTCCAGCTTTCACCACCCCACGCGGGGACACTGCAGCTCCATCACCTCCATAAACTGGACATATGGTAACCCACCACCCATACACTTACCATGCCTGGCCAAGAGACTTCCTCTCTGCTCCCCAGCCCTGAAGACAGTGCCTCTGCCAGCAGCAGGGCACAAGTAAGGGTGGTAATCCCATGACCCCTCTACAATAATCTTGAGACCCTCCCACCCTGGCCCCCTTTTGGGTCGGGACCCCCACAGTTACAACACCATGAAATTTCTCGTGTAAAGATCTGAAAAACATGAAAGTGACTGATTTAAAAAACCCCTGGCCATCAAATTCACCAAAATGGACCGTGAATTTGGTAGGGCCCTACTTATGGCCCACCAGGACCCCGCATTTTTGGACAGAGGTATAACTCTCATATCTACCAACACCACCATCCCTCATATTTCTGAATAAGTCCAGAAGTCAATGAAGACCCCAGCTGACAGTTGGTAGCTGTGGAAACAGCTTTATGTGGCATACAGCTTCCTCACAAAGCAAAAGCACTGTCACTTGAAGAAAGTTTTCCTAGATGTAAAGATATAGTTGGCATCAGAAGCAGCTGCAAATAGGCAGTGGGAAGTGTTCTATCATTGCCAGGGGAGAGCTCAGCAGTTGTGCAATCAACAGGAAAAGGACTTGAATGCAACAGTTCATGAGTAGCTGCATGGTATCTTAGTGAGCACTTCATCACTGTTAAGCAACAGTTTTGAACTAGACCCAGAAGCACAGACTGGTAGGACGATGTGGTTCTCTGGGTCTCAAATGATCAGCAGTGGCTGCAGAACTTATGGATGAAGAAAGCCACTTTCCTAGAATTCTGAAGCACTCAGGCAGGTCCAGACATGTGAGACCACCAGGATGAGAGCCCTAATACAAGTACAGAGGTATGCAATAGTTACCCTGTAGAAGCTAGTCTGTTACAGGTTTCTTGGGGGCCAGTTTGGGGTCAACAAGTCCCACTGTGGTGGTGGTTTGTGCAACCAAAAGTGCTGTACTTCATATATCAAAGGCAACTAATTCTCAAAATCGATATGTTTCAGTAGCTGGGCCAAACTGTGTTGGTATTCATATACCCATTATCTGCTGACACTACTGACTCTGCAGGTGCTCACAAGCACATCAATAAGAAGGATTATTTCCTGAAAAGGCAAGATTTGGCGGATCGTTAAACGTGGCTCATGAACCCCCCTGCACTGGTCAAGTACACGAGAGGATATTCACGAATGCTATTGGGTCCAGGCATGAGCAAGCCATGCTCCCACACAGTAACGTGATCAATGGAGTTTGTTCATATTGTCATTCTGAAAGTATGGCATGGAGCCCTCAGCCAATATTTTTAAGTGTGAATGCATTTAGGAATATGTCCCCATGTTTCATTATTTACAAAACTGTAGACAGATAAAGCAACTCTTATTTATGTGAACATTTCCAGTGACACACATTTTGTTTGTAAAAACAATTTAAAACTAGTAGGTCTAAAATGCATGCGCCAGCTATGTAAGAACAAATATTCTATTCCCAGCACATTCCTTTTGTGAAGGCAAGATAATGAAAATGAAAAAATCCTACTCTGATAACATGTGAATGCCAAGTTTTCTATGTCACATTTTCAGTGTAGCTATATTTGAGGGTTTGTCTTCCTCTACAATGGACTGCAAATGAAAATACAGCATTTGATAACAAGCACATGACAGACTTTTCCTACAAGCATGGGGAGTGAAATATCCATAGCTTTGCTAAAAGATGCCTTGAGGCAATTTGACAGCTACCTACAGTTATCTGAAGTGGATCAACATTGCAGGAGGAATTATTTAGGATGGTTCAGAGATTAGCAAAGAGAAATAAAATGAAGTAGCAAAAAGACAAGTTTGGGCCATATACCTTGTCATAAATATAAAGGGAAGGGTAACCACCTTTCCATATACAGGACTATAAAATCCCTCCTGGCCAGAGGCAAAACCCTTTCACCTGTAAAGGGGTAAGAAGCTAAAATAACCTCGCTGGCACCTGACCAAAATGACTAATGAATAGACAAGTTACTTTCAAAGCTGGAGGGAGGGGAACAAAGGCTGTCTGTCTGTGGGATGCTTTTGCCCGGAACAGATCAGGAATGCTCTTCATAACTCCTCAGAACTTCTGTTAAGTTAGTAAGTAATCTAGATAGAAATGCATTAGATTTCCTTTTGTTAAATGGCTGGCAAAATAGGTTGTGCTGAACGGAATGTATATTCCTGTTTTTGTGTCTTTTTGTAACTTAAGGTTTTCCCTAGAGGGATTCTCTATGTTTTGAATCGGATTACTTTGTAAGGTATTTACCATCCTGAGTTTACAGAGGTGATTCTTTTACTTTTTCTTTAATTAAAATTCTTCTTTTAAGAACCTGATTGATTTTTCATTGTTCTTAAGATCCAAGGGTTTGGGTCTGTGTTCACCTGTACAGATTGGTGAGGATTTTTAGCAAGCCTTCTCCAGGAAAGGGGGTGTAGGACTTGGGGAAAAGACGTCTCCAAGTGGGTTCTTTCCCTGTTATTTAACACACTTGGTGGTAGCAGCATAGGGTTCAAGAACAAGGCAAAGTTTGTACCTTGGGGAAGTTTTTTAACCTAAACTGGTAAGAATAATCTTAGGGGGTCTTTCATGCAGGTCCCCACATCTGTACCCTAGAGTTCAGAGTGGGGAAGGAACCTTGACATACCTAAAATCCAGCTCATCAATAAGAACACAGAATAGCATCTCAGGAGATTAGGGAAGGTCAATTTTAGTTAATTTTTAAAAAATGTTTCATGAACATATTAAGTCTCAATCCTGAATTGGATTAATGTAGTCTTTAACTGTCATCCTGATCATAAAAAGGATGTCTTCCCACATTCCCTAAAACTGCAACATTCTACTTGGATGATCAACCAACAAATATATAATACCAGATTTCTTTGCAGATGAGACAGGCACATCCAGATCTCCGTATGCTTTCTAGCAGGAAAATATTAATACAGAAATGTCATGTAGTGCTTGAAAGATATCATGGAATTAGAAGTTTCAGAAAGAGACTTTAAAAATAATATGTTTAATATTTAACTTGTCAAACTCGCCAGAAGAAGTCTTACATTTGCATTCCCAAGTTACCACTTAAAGTCAAGGTTTTAGCCCTGGTCTACACTAGGACTTTAGGTCGAATTTAGCAGCGTTAAATCGATGTAAACCTGCACCTGTCCACACAATGAAGCCCTTTATTTCGACTTAAAGGGCTCTTAAAATCGATTTCCTTACTCCACCCCTGACAAGTGGATTAGCGCTTAAATCGACGTTGCCGGCTCGAATTTGGGGTACTGTGGACGCAATTCGATGGTATTGGCCTCCGGGAGCTATCCCAGAGTGCTCCATTATGACCACTCTGGACAGCACTCTCAACTCAGATGCACTGGCCAGGTAGACAGGAAAAGAACCGCGAACTTTTGAATCTCATTTCCTGTTTGGCCAGCGTGGCAAGCTGCAGGTGACCATGCAGAGCTCATCAGCACAGGTGACCATGGTGGAGTCCCAGAATCGCAAAAGAGCTCCAGCATGGACCGAACGGGAGGTACGGGATCTGATCGTTGTTTGGGGAGAGGAATCCGTGCTATCAGAACTCCGTTCCAGTTTTCGAAATGCCAAAACCTTTGTGAAAATCTCCCAGGGCATGAAGGACAGAGGCCATAACAGGGACCCGAAGCAGTGCCGTGTGAAACTGAAGGAGCTGAGGCAAGCCTACCAGAAAACCAGAGAGGCGAACAGCTGCTCTAGGTCAGAGCCCCAAACATGCCGCTTCTATGATGAGCTGCATGCCATTTTAGGGGGTTCAGCCACCACTACCCCAGCCGTGTTGTTTGACTCCTTCAATGGAGATGGAGGCAATACAGAAGCAGGTTTTGGGGACGAAGAAGATGATGAGGAGGAGGTTGTAGATAGCTCACAGCAAGCAAGCGGAGAAACCAGTTTTCCCGACAGCCAGGAACCGTTTCTCACCCTAGACCTGGAGCCAGTACCCCCCGAACCCACCCAAGGCTGCCTCCTGGACCCAGCAGGCGGAGAAGGGACCTCTGGTGAGTGTACCTTTTAAAACACTATACATGGTTTAAAAGCAAGCATGTGAAAGGATTACTTTGCCCTGGCATTTGCGGTTCTCCTAGATGTAGTCCTATAGCCTTTGCAAAAGGTTTCTGGGGAGGGCAGCCTTATTGCGTCCTTCATGGTAGGACACTGTACCACTCCAGGCCAGTAACACGTACTCGGGAATCATTGTAGAACAAAGCATTGCAGTGTATGTTTGCTGGCATTCAAACAACATCCGTTCTTTATCTCTCTGTGTTATCCTCAGGAGCGTGATATCATTCATGGTCACCTGGTTGAAATAGAGTGCTTTTCTTCAGGGGACACTCAGAGGAGCCCATTCCTGCTGGGCTGTTTGCCTGTGGCTAAACAGAAATGTTCCCCGCTGTTAGCCACAGGGAGGGGGGAAGGTTGAGGGGGTAGCCACACAGTGGGGGGAGGCAAAATGCGACCTTGTAACGAAAGCACATGTGCTATGTATGTAATGTTAACAGCAAGGTTTACCCTGAAAGAGTGTAGCCACTGTTTTATAAAATGTGTCTTTTTAAATACCGCTGTCCCTTTTTTTTTTCTCCACCAGCTGCATGTGTTTCAATGATCACAGGATCTTCTCCTTCCCAGAAGCTAGTGAAGCTTAGAAAGAAAAAAAAAACGCACTCGCGATGAAATGTTCTCCGAGCTCATGCTGTCCTCCCACACTGACAGAGCACAGACGAATGCGTGGAGGCAAATAATGTCAGAGTGCAGGAAAGCACAAAATGACCGGGAGGAGAGGTGGCGGGCTGAAGAGAGTAAGTGGCAGGCTGAAGTGAGGGCTGAAGCTCAAATGTGGCGGCAGCGTGATGAGAGGAGGCAGGATTCAATGCTGAGGCTGCTGCAGAACCAAACCAGTATGCTCCAGTGTATGGTTGAGCTGCAGCAAAGGCAGCTCGAGCACAGACTGCCACTGCTGCCCCTCTGTAACCAACCGCCCTCCTCCCCAAGTTCCATAGCCTCCACACCCAGACGCCCAAGAACGCGGTGGGGGGGCCTCCGGCCAACCAGCCACTCCACCACAGAGGATTGCCCAAAAAAAAGAAGGCTGTCATCCAATAAATTTTAAAGTTGTAAACTTTTAAAGTGCTGTGCTTAAAGTGCTGTGTGGCATTTTCCTTCCCTCCTCCACCACCCCTCCTGGGCTACCTTGGTAGTCATCCCCCTATTTGTGTGATGAATGAATAAAGAATGCATGAATGTGAAGCAACAATGACTTTATTGCCTCTGCAAGCGGTGATTGAAGGGAGGAGGGGTGGGTGGTTAGCTTACAGGGAAGTAGAGTGAACCAAGGGGCGGGGGGTTTCATCAAGGAGAAACAAACAGAACTTTCACACCGTAGCCTGGCCAGTCATGAAACTGGTTTTCAAAGCTTCTCTGATGCGTACCGCGCCCTCCTGTGCTCTTCTAACCGCCCTGGTGTCTGGCTGCGCGTAACCAGCAGCCAGGCGATTTGCCTCAACCTCCCACCCCGCCATAAACGTCTCCCCCTTACTCTCACAGATATTGTGGAGCACACAGCAAGCAGTAATAACAGTGGGGATATTGGTTTCGCTGAGGTCTAAGCGAGTCAGTAAACTGCGCCAGCGCGCCTTTAAACGTCCAAATGCACATTCTACCACCATTCTGCACTTGCTCAGCCTGTAGTTGAACAGCTCCTGACTACTGTCCAGGCTGCCTGTGTACGGCTTCATGAGCCATGGCATTAAGGGGTAGGCTGGGTCCCCAAGGATACATATAGGCATTTCAACATCCCCAACAGTTATTTTCTGGTCTGGGAATAAAGTCCCTTCCTGCAGCTTTTGAAACAGACCAGAGTTCCTGAAGATGCGAGCATCATGCACCTTTCCCGGCCATCCCACGTTGATGTTGGTGAAACGTCCCTTGTGATCCACCAGAGCTTACACTATCGAAAAGTACCCCCCCTTGCGGTTTATGTACTCGGCGGCTTGGTGCTCCGGTGCCAAGATAGGGATATGGGTTCCGTCTATAGCCCCACCACAGTTAGGGAATCCCATTGCAGCAAAGCCATCCACTATGACCTGCACATTTCCCAGGGTCACTACCCTTGATATCAGCAGATCTTTGATTGCGTGGGCTACTTGCATCACAGCAGCCCCCACAGTAGATTTGCCCACTCCAAATTGATTCCCAACTGACCGGTAGCTGTCTGGCGTTGCAAGCTTCCACAGGGCTATCACCACTCGCTTCTCAACTGTGAGGGCTGCTCTCATCTTGGTATTCATGCGCCTCAGGGCAGGGGAAAGAAAGTCACAAAGTTCCATGAAAGTGCCCTTACGCATGCGAAAGTTTCGCAGCCACTGGGAATCGTCCCAGACCTGCAACACTATGCGGTCCCACCAGTCTGTGCTTGTTTCCCGAGCCCAGAATCGGCGTTCCACATCATGAACCTGCCCCATTAGCACCATGATGCATGCATTGGCAGGGCCCATGCTTTCAGAGAAATCTGTGTCCATGTCCTGATCACTCACGTGACCGCACTGACGTCGCCTCCTCGCCCAGTATCGCTTTGCCAGGTTCTGATGCTGCATATACTGCTGGATAATGTGTGTGGTGTTTAATGTGCTCCTAATTGCCAAAGTGAGCTGAGCGGCCTCCATGCTTGCCTTGGTATGGCGTCCGCACAGAAAAAAGGCGCGGAACGATTGTCTGCCATTGCTCTGATGGAGGGAGGGGCGACTGACGACACGGCTTACAGGGTTGGCTTCAGGGAGCTAAAATCAACAAAGGGGGTGCCTGTACATCAAGGAGTATTTCAGGCAGGACTGCACAGAGGGTTCCAATAAGAAATGGTGCACCTAAGTTATCGTTCTTATTGGAACAAGGAGGTTAGCCTGGCCTCTGATTGATACATGGCTAGATTTACCTCGCTGCACCTTCTCTGTGAGTGACTGCAGTGTGATCTAGAGGAATGAGTTCCCTAGACAGGGGAGGAGGCAAATGAGTACAAAACAAATCTGGTCTATTTCTTGTTCTGAGACACTCCATCTATCTTTTACATCTTTGGCTGGCAGCAGACGGTGCAGAAGGACTGCATGCCATCCACATCTCATGGCTGCTCGGCAGAAGATGGTACAGTACGACTGCTAGCCATCTTCATCTCTTGCCTGCCTGGCAGAAGATGGTACAATACGACTGCTAGCAATCCTCATCTCTTGCCTGCCTGGCAGAAGATGGTACAGTACGACTGCTAGCAGTCCGTATCGCCTGCCCGCTCACCATAAGACGGTTCAATAGGACTGACTGCAGGACTAAAGAGAATGACCTGGTCAAGTCACTCCAAATTTAGTCCCTGCACCCATGTCTGCCCAGGCGCTCCCAGCCGACGTGGCCAGGAGCACCTCGGACACGACGAGGACGACTACCAGTCGTATTGCACCGTCTGCTGCCAGAAGGCAATGGGTTGCTGCTACTGTGCAGCAAAGCCGTACCGCGTCTGCCAGCACCCAGGAGACATAGGGTGACGGTTACCTGAGCGGACTCCATGCTTGCCGTGGTATGGCGTCTGCACAGGTAACTCAGGAAAAAAGGCGCGAAATGATTGTCTGCCCTTGCTTTCACGGAGGGAGGGAGGGAACGGGGGCCTGACGATATGTACCCAGAACCACCCGCGACAATGTTTTAGCCCCATCAGGCATTGGGATCTCAACCCAGAATTCCAATGGGCAGCGGAGACTGCAGGAACTGTGGGATAGCTACCCACAGTGCAACGCTCCGGAAGTCGACTCTAGCCTCGGTACTGTGGAAGCGCTCCGCCGAGTTAATGCACTTAATGCACTTAGAGCATTTTCTGTGGGGACACACACACTCGAATATATAAAACCGATTTCTAAAAAACCGACTTCTATAAATTCGACCTTATTCCGTAGTGTAGACATACCCTTAGAGTGCTTGCCTGAGTCTTCATTGCTATCTGTGAGCACTTCTTGTTTTCATTTTAGTGATATTCTACATTTTATCTGGAGACATGCCATTCTGCTCATCCTTCAGGCTTCCTGGCTGCACTAAGTGACATCAGTCAATCATTAGACCAGCTGTTAAGTGTTTTGTGTAGAGCAGGGGTCGGCAACCTATGGTACACGTGCCAAAGACGGCACCAGGAGCGGATTTTTAATGGCAAGCTGCTGCCTGCTGGGTCCCAGCCGCCGGCCCTGCTCAGCCCACTGCCAAACCCAGGCCAGCAGCGGGCTCAGAGTGGCCGCCAGTAGGCGGCACCATACCATTAAAAATCCTGCCTGCCCCGGCCCACTCTTCTCCACCCCCCACCCCACCCTCGGTGGGGGGGTAGGGTGAAGAAGCTTAGTCCAGCCAGCTGCTGCTGCAGGGCAGGCAAGCTCCCCCCTCCTCCGCCTCTTCCCCCAGCATGCTGGGTTCCTGCCCCTCCTCCTCTCCCTCCCTGCCACTGATCAGCTGATGGCCCCTTGCGAGGAAGGGGGAGAAGCGGAGTCGCAGCGCGCTCGCTGCTCCAGGGAGGAGACGGAGAAGAAGTGGGGATGGGGCCTTGGGGACGGGGAATGGAATCAGGGCATATCCCCTCCAGCCACCTGCTGTGAGCCGCTCTGGGCAGGGGGCTGGGAGCACCCCCATGACCCTAGCCCACACCCCAGCCCTCTGCCCTGACCCCTGCACCCTCCTCACATGCCATGCCCTGACTCTTGCACCCCCCACATTCCCACCCCCACCCTGAGCACCAAACAGGAGCTCCTGCACCCCTCACACCAAACGTGAGCTGCCCAGGTAAGCACTCCACACCCAAACCTCCTGCCCCAACCCTGAGCCCCCTCCCTCATTCTAGCTCCTGGACAGACCCTACACCACATCCCCCAGCCTGCTCCTTCACCCCCAGCCCTGTGCTCAGTGCACTCCAACCCTCAGCTCAGTCCAGAGAGAGAGGAAGAGAATGGGCTAGAACTAGGGAGAAGCTAGGTACCCGCTTTATGTCGGCAGGGTTGGGATCCCAGACCAGCAGCAGGCTGAGCGGGGCTGGCGGCCGGGACCCTGGCTGGCAGGAGCCAGCGTACGGAACCCCAGACCAGCAGTGGGCTGAGTGGCAGTGGGCTGAGCCGCTCAGCCCACTGCCGGTCTGGGGTCCTGGCTGCCGGCCACTTGCCAGCCAGGGTCCCAGTCGCAGGCCCTGCTCAGCCTGTTGCTGGCCTAGGTGAACAGAACCCCAAGCTGGCAGCGGGCTGAGTGGGGCGGCGCATAAGATCAGCATTTTAATTTAATTTTAAATGAAGCTTCTTAAACATTTTGAAACCTTGTTTACTTAACATACGACAATAGTTTAGTTATATAATATATAGACTTATAGAGAGAGACCTCCTAAAAAACATTAAAATGTATTACTGGCACGCAGAACTTTAATTTAAAGTGAATAAACAAAGACTCGGCACACCACTTCTGAAAGGCTGCCGACCCCTGGTGTAGAGCCTTTCAATTGTAATTTGCAATCTTCCTTGTGCATGGAAGACATTAATATACATACAGCTGAAGAGTTACATTAGTTGCAACAAAGATCACTCAGTGATGGGAAAAACCCTCCTGGAAAGGCAAAAAGCTGGAAACAGAGCTAAGCAACGCAATTCCATTAACAAGAATTAAAGAAAACTAGAAGCAAGCACTGCTCCCCAAGAGCATCAATAAAGACATCAGCAGAAAGCTCTTTAAAAAGCCGTGGCAGTTCTAAAGTGTGGAAAGTAGATGATTGTTTCAGTTTAAGGAGATGGTGCACAAGATTAATAATA